AATAAAACTACAAATAAAAAAAGCGTCAGACCAGAGGTTTTGGTGGAATTCAGCTAATCTTTGAAGTTCACCGAATAATATTTTACATGCTCCTATTTTTAAAAAAGCAATCTTCTCAAATTCAGTTTCAAAAGCTATCACCATAGTTACACAATATGAAGATAGAAAAGTAAAACTAAAAATGTAGTCAGTCAAAGGTCATTTCATTAGAAAAATTAATATGTAAATGTATTCTGCATTCATTTATACTGAAAATAATCCTAAATTAAACATAAACCAGTAATATTTAATGGTATTTCAAATATGCCATGATGATGTTCAGTTTACCCCAAAATGAAAAGATGTTTAACATTAGAAAATCTATTAATACAACTTCACATGTAACAAGGTAAAGGAAAAAGGTACTCATGATGAAATCTTGAAGCACACTGATATAAGTAAGAATTTTCTTAACTCAATAAAGGGACTATTTCATAAATTATATCAAAGTCTCCACTAGATTATAATATCTGCTAACACCATTTTGACTCGATACTAACACAGAAATCCCTACCAACCCAGTAAGAGAATAAAAAAATTGAAAAGGAGGGGAAAAATGTCCTTATTTGCATGCAATATAACTAATTACATTGATAAATCTAGACTATTAGAATTAATAAAAAGTAGAGACTATCAGAGCAATATACTAAGATAAATCTCATTTTTATATGTGAAACATAAATAGAAAGTAGAATTATAAAAGGTACTATTTAAAATAACAATGAAAGTATTATATTAGTTTTTCAAAATATTATGAAATTATTATTTTACACATCTAACAAAACATGTTTGAAGCATGAACACATGAAATTGAGCTCAATATTATTAGACAGAAAACAAATACAAATTAAAAGGTACTACTATAACTACTTGAGCATTGCTATAATGCTAGCAAAGACAGTATGAAGTGTTGGTGAGGATGTAGGAAGACTGAAACATTTCAAAATGGCTGGTGGAAATGTAAAAAGGTACAACTATGCAGTAAAATCTTTTGGCAGTTTCTCTGAAAGTTAACCATAATCTTAATATATAACCTGGAAATGCTACTCCTAGGAATCAACCCAAACAAAATGAAAATAAATGTCTATACAAAGACCATCTAAATGTTTATATCAGATCTTTTCATAATAGCCAAAGCCTAGAAATAATCCCAATGTCTTATACCTGGTGATTAACAAATAAAAAGCAGTTGTGTGTGTGTGTGTGTGTGTGTGTGTGTGTGTGTGTGTATGATGCTATCCCATTTGCTATATTAACCTAGTAAAATAGAAACACCTTATGACTATCTCAATTAATATAGAAAAATCACACACTATAAACACATACCAATTCCTGATCAAAATGTTCATCAAAGCAAAAATAGAAGAAAAATTTCTTAACCTGATAGCAGTATCTATTTCTTGCCAATTTCTATTATTTTTAAAAAAAAGCATTAAGTGACTTTTGGTATTCTTTATCCACTTTTTGATGAAATGTTTGTAGAATTTTTTCCCTAAAGAAACTATTAACCCTTTTTTAGATGTGCTGCAAATACTTTCCTAGTCTATTATTTGTCCTTTAACTTTTTTTAGATGTATATTACTATATAGTTTTAAATGTTTAATATAGGCATATTGTCAATATTTTATTTTATTTTATAGCTTCTGGGTTTGAATATTTTACTTCAAGGTAAGAAAAATATTATTTTGTATTTTCTCCTAAAACTCCTTAGATTTTACATATTGATTTTTAACTCACCTGAACATTTTTTGTATAATGAGTGAAACAGGGCTCTATATTTGTTTTATTTATAGTAATAGTGGTCCATGCACTTTATTTGTTGAATAAGCCTTATTTTCCCCATTGATTCGAAATATCAATTTAATATATTACATTGTTAGACAGATATATATGCTTGTTTCTAGAATGCTCCTTTTATTTCATTGATCTACTTGACTATTTCTGTGCTGGTGTCATGTTCATCAAAATAAGAAGCTTCTGCATGGCTAAAGAAAACATCAGCAAAATGAAAAGAGAACCAACCATATGGGAAAATATATTTGCTAATGAAACCTCGGACAAGGGTTTGATCTCCAAAATATATAAAGAACTCACATGACTCCACTCCAGGAAGACAAACAATCCAATTTAAAAATGGGCAATAGACCTGAACAGTCACTTCTCCAAGGAGGACATACACAGGGCCAGAGACATATGAAAGCATGCTCAGCATCACTAGCCATTAGAGAAATGCAAATTAAAACCACAATGAGATACCACTTCACACAGGTCAGAATGGCCACCATAAACAAATCAACAAACAAAAAGTGCTGGCAAGGTTGTGGAGAAAAGGGAACCCTAGTACACTATTGGTGGGAATGCAGACTGGTGCAGCCACTGTGGAAAACAGTTTAGAATTTCGTTAAAAAGCTAAACATGGACCCTCCTTTTGACCCAGCAATTCCACTGTTGGGATTATACCCTAAGTATCCCAAAACACCAATTCAAAAGAACCCATGCACCCCAATGTTCATAGCAGCATAATTTACAATAGCCAAGTACTGGGAGCAACCTAAGCGTCCATCAGTAAATAAGTGTATCAAAAAACCCTGGTACATTTACACAATGGAATGCTATGCAGCAGAAAGAAAGAGCTACTACCCTTCACAACAGCATGGGTGGAACTTGAGAGCATTATGCTAAGAAAAATAAGACAGGCAGTCAAGACAATTACCATACGATCTCACCTAAAAGTGGAACCTAATAAAACAAACAAGCAACAAAAATATAACCAGCAACATTGAAAGAAAAAACAAACTGACATTAACGAGAGGAAAGGAGGGAGGGGGTAAAGGGGAAAAGAAGGGGAAGGGTCAAATCAAGGAACACGTATAAAGGACCCATGGACAAAGTCAAAGTGGGGAAGGATTGAGGGTGGGAGGTGGGGGTGGGTGGGGCAGAGGAAAGTGGTGGTGGGAAAATGGAGACAAATGTATTTAACAATAATAATAACAGAATAAATTTTGTGTTTTGTGTACTCAAAAAGAAAAAGGAGTATCTACATCATACTTAATGGTGAAAGACTGGATCATTTCTCTCTAAGATCAGGAACAAGAGAAGAATATAAACATGCTCAGCACATGTTTTCACAGGGTACCAGTGGTAGTAGCCAATGCAATAAGGTAAGAGAAAAAAAGGTATCTAGGAAAGAAAGGAAAAATTCAAATTCCATTATTTGTAGAACACATTATTGTCTATGTACAAAATATGACAGAACCTACAAAAATGGTAGCAGAACTACTGAGTTTGGCAAAGCTGAAGGATACAAAATCAATATTAAAATCAATCATGGTTGAGCATATGAGAAACAATCAGAAATAAAATATTTTAAAAAATAGTATTTCCACAGTATCAACAATATAAAAATGTTTAGATATAATTGTGAAAACTGTGAAAGACCCATGCAGTGAAAACCACCAAATATTGCTAAGGTTTTTAAATAATTAAGAAAAAAAGATATACTCTGTTTATGGGTAAGAAGAACTATAGTTAAGATATCAATTCTTCCCAAACTGATCTATAAACTAAACACAATCCTAATCCAAATCTTAGCATGTATTTTTGTCAAAAATGACAAGCAGATTCTTAAGTTCATATATAAACACAAAGAAAATTGAATCGCCATAGAAGTATAAAGAGAAAGAACAAAACTGAAGAATAAATATTACATGATTTTAACACTTATTGTAAAGTTAGAGTGATCATAACAGTGCTATACTCATAAATAAGTTAATTAATGGAACAGAATAGAAAGTCCAGAAATAGTCTTATATATTCTTATACACATACATGGATGGCTGATTTTCAGCAAAGTTTCAAAAGCAATTCAGTGGTTAATACTGCTAGAACATTTGCATGTCCATGTGGAGGAAAAAAATTTGACTCATTCCTTAAAATGCATGCAAATATTAACTCAAAATATAACAAATACTTAAATGGAAAACCTAAAAATATAAAATTTCTAGAAGAAAATATAAGGGAAAATCCTTGTGTCCTTAATTAGGCTAAGATGTCTAAAAAAACAAACTGATAAATGGAACTTCATCTAAATTTAAAAAATTCCATTAAAAATACCTTTTAATACAGTGAAAAGGCAAGCCACAAACTAGGGAAAATATTTCCAACTTATATATAAGACAAAGGACTTGCATTTGAAATATATAAAGTGCTTTGAAAATTCAATATGAAAACAACTGATGCAATTTTTAAAAGTAGGGAATGGACTTACATACACTTCTTCAAATAAAATATACACATGGCAAAAAATTCACACAGAAATGCTTACATCATTAGTCATTAGGGAAATGCAAATAACATGAGATTTTAATATCACTACACACCTATTAAGATAGCTAAAATTAAAAAGCCTAATCATTTGGAGGATCAAGAGAGATTTGGAGGAAGTGAAACTCATACACTGCTGGTGGAAGTGTAAAATGATATAACCATCTGGGAAATAGTTTGGTTGTTTCTTAAAAAGTTAAATACACATCTACCATATGATCATTACCCAATGGAGGTGTCTTTCTATACAAAATCAGTGCAGCTTTTTAACGATGACCAAAATTTTCCCCTTTAAAAATCTATCACAAAATTTCAGTTATTCTGTATTTAATCATAATGAAAAGATTATATTAAAATCTAGCTGAGTTTACTCAAGTTCTGTATTTTCCTCCATGTTCAGAATAGTATCTGTTGCTATTTTCTCTTCAGAGTAGGAAAAAATGCACCAAATATAATTAAGAAAATATACTGAAAAGACATTGCTTTTCTTAGCAATATATGTTACAAGATTTGAGAAAAATTAAATGGTAACCTAATAATGACAATATCAATTATTTAAGATAAATTTTATTATCTGCAAAATCACCTGAAACTAGTAATACAAACCAATTAATTAAAATTAAAAAATAAATACTTACAATAACATGTTCCTCTAAGTGGATTACCAACATAGCGATTTTCAGAGTCACATCTGTAGAAATAATAAACAAGAATAAACATATATATAAATAAAAAATAAAAAAGACAACTAAAAAGGGTAGATTTTTAGTTTTTAATGTATAAAAGCACTAGAGAGCAAAAAAGCAAATAATTACCATGCTAGGATGCAGAGGACGGAATCCCAGGTTATTAGAAGATTTCCTGATTTATGGATGGAAATAGCATTTCACAGGAAAAAAGGGACTGGCATTTAGGCCCACCAAAGATTGATGAGCTAAGTAACAAAAACTATCTTAGGAGTAAGGACGCAAAAGGTCCTTTAAGAGACTGAAGATCTACTTTGAACCATCCTTATCCCTGAAAGTGATTAAGGTACTGCTGTTCTCAGGTACATAAGAGAATTGAATTCTCTTTGGAAAAGGATTCCATGCAAGATCTCAAACTACATATGAATAGATTTTAAAATATGGCACCCAGTACAAAATAAAAAATAAGCAGCTTAGAAACTGTTAAGCAAACAAGAACAGGAACCAGCAGAAACAAAGGATCACGTAAATAAAGCCATGGAAATTCATATATGCTCTGGGGAAAGTCACAAGCTTTAACATAATTATTTTCTATATGGTAGGAGATAATAGACAAGATTTAAAAGCATAATAAAGTTAAGACTTTAGTCTAAAAACAGTAAAACGAAATTGCAATAACCAAAATTAAAAACTGAGTGGATGAGATTAACAGCCAATTAGACACAGTGGACAAGAGAAGGGTAAACTGAAAAACAAGTGAGGACAGAGTGGAAAATATGAAAAAGATGTTATGTGCAATAAGTAAAATAACAAAAGTTTTTTGGCTAGGTCAAGGAAGACACTAATTGATTAGGCCAGTGGTTCTCAATGGAGATTAAATGCGTGGGTAACAATTATTTACTCCATAATTATAGAGTTCTGTGGAACTTTCCAAAATAGAAGGGAGGGTAATAGACATTCTGAATACACAAGGCAACCCCATAAAACAAAAAATTGATCCAAACCCACACAACTTTTAAGTAACATGGCAAATGAAAAACCTTTTTTCATAATTACTTTAGTGTAGAAACTATTTCTATTTTACATATAACCACAGAGTAAGCTTTGCATGTTTATAAAATATACTGAATTTTCATGCTGTTTGTGGTATATATAACACATTTCTCTGAGTATATCATGTGTCTAAAGAATATATAAAACTCCTTTTAAGAGACTAAGAACCAAATATTGCTAGTAGTATCAAGTTGTGAACAGCACTGAATTTCATTAAAAAGTAATTAAAATTGGTATATTATTCATATCCTATGCATTTTTAAAAAAACTGTAGCAGTCTAATATAAAATCTATATGATAGAAATTATATATTAAAATTTATTTTGGGGTTACGAATTGTTTTTCAACAGGAGAGTCTGACAACCCAACTCTACTCACTCATATCTTCTATCTCCTTTTGTCTAAGAAATGATATAGTTTCCACAGTCTTCTTAAGTACCAGAAACTGCATATATGCCTTGATATATGGTGGGGTTTCAAGAGAGAAACATACTTTGTAATATTTAATCATATTTTAGTCCATATTTTAACCTAGGGAATTATTTTGACACCACTTATCAATAAAATTTAGAAATTTTACAAAAATAATACATTGTGTTTTTGTTAAAGTCCACACATTGCTCCTCAAAATTAAACAATTTTCAGAGAAAATACTACTTCATTTATTATATATTTATATGAGAGTTCATACTTCCATTAAATTCATTTTTTAGTTATCATTTTTGAGTCCCCACCATGTTTCAGGCCGGGGCCCAAATGAGAACTTCCCTAGCAAGATAAATAATTTGGTGACCCTATAAATGAACATTTGGATCCCAATAGCAAAGCTCCACCCACTGTGTCCACCATCCCCCACCGCAGCTTTGACCACAGGAAACACATACTTAAAAAATTGCTTCAATTTTTCCATGAGCAACTGCTACGTTTCATGTGGAAAAAATTTAAAAAAAAATAAAACTCTAGAAAGAGTGTGAATGCCACTATTCCTGCAGTGGGCAGGAGCTGCACACTGTCCTGATAGTGCACACTTAGCACCAGCCTGTTAACCTCCTCAGCTGAACTCTTCAGTTTCCTGTTGGTTTCAATCCATGTAAGCTCATGCTCATGTCTCTCTGAAATCTCTTGCTTGTCTCTAGATTTTTAGCCATTTGGTTACCTTGTAATCTCAATAGTTCAAAGCTTTCAAAAACACTCATAAATTTTTAATTTGCCCAGCTTTTCTTTCTTGCAGTGTAAAGGGAGAAGTGAAGCTCTTTCCAGCTCTTGACATCCTCCAGCAAACAAGGGAAATGCCATAACTATGTTCATTTTTACTTTTTGGCTTCACTGTTTACTATAGTCTCTATCCAGAACAATTTAACTCCTCCTTCAAGTTCCAGCTTAAATGCCCTCTGCCCAAACTTCCCTTATCCCTCCAAGATAAACTATTCACTCCCTTTTCAGGACTCCTTCAATGCTTCCTACATTCCATTTCATTAAATAATAAATTTATTGAACATGGACACCGTGGTGTTAATGCAATGGTCCCCAAAGAATTTCACTCTAACAAAGGATTCAAGCAAGTACACAGCTAATACAAAGAAAAATTTAACAAATAGGATAAGAACCAATTTCAGTTTGGGGTGGTCATGAAAAATATACAAGAATATGTGATGTCCAACCACATACTTAAAGTTCAACAGAAATTACTCTGAGAGGAGGAAAGGGTTGGTATCTCAAATCACTAATGTAAGAAATCAGTATATTTTGGCTTCTGTCACCAACGCTACCTTGAAAGATACTTTAGGCAAAAAGCATCTGTTATTTATCTTTAATAATAGTACCATTCATTTAATCATTGCTTCCTAATTTGAATGACTAGCTTTGCTTCCTAACAAAAGCATTTTCTCCTGTGTAAGCACACTATAGGAAATAATTGCTTTAGGAATAACGGCCCTATCTTTTCACTGCCCCACATGCAAAGGCAACATAAATAAAACAAAAAAGTAATGATTCTATCTACAAAATACTCTTTACAAATTATAGTCCAATTTTTCTTCTGCTTGGAAAATAATCATAAATAACAACTTGGGTAAGTGTACTTTCATCATTCAGAATTATGTAATTTACTTTTTAGTATTTCATAGATTTGTCAAAGCCCGTAACTTTGTATATCTATGTTCAATGAATTCAAATTCTGCTCTCTCATCTGGAGGAAAAAAATGTGTTTTCAAGTGCCACATCACATAAGAGATATTCATTGTGAATGGTTATCTCATTTATGCAGAAGTGCGGTACAAATTAAAAATGTCAGCGCTCATCTTCACGATGGAATCTCAAAACAAAAATAAAACATCTGTTGCTTATGAAGAGGACCTGCTCTGATCTTCCTAGTGGGATGGCGGAAAGGGCGGGGGGTGGGGTTGGGGAGAAAGGGTAAGAGGAAAACAAGAAGCAGTGCAAAATGAAAATGAGGGTTCTTATTAAAAACTTATTAAGAATTTCAAGATGGCAATGGCAGAGCGTTAGAGCAAGCAGGATGCCCTTCTAAGCATGAGGCCCTGTGCAGCGGCAGATGCCACACACCTATGAAGCTGACCCTGCTTATGACAACTGGTACTGAGTCTTGCAAAATACTGTAAGCATCCTTCTGTTCCAGAGCAAGGGACTGTGATTTAATTCCATTGGTAATGAGAGCCTTCCTTAATAAGAATTTCCCTATAATCTTAATGCTCTGGCCTCATTTTTAAGTTTAGAGACTATGGAGAAGAAATAAAAATTGGTTCTGATTAATTTCTCTGAACTTGAAAACGTATGATAACTCAGTAACTAGTCAAAGACGTAATTCTCTAGCTTGAAATGTTTTGGGTAATTCTACAGCAAAAAAACACATTCTTCTCAATAAAAACAAAATGATCATTTTCCATGGTTAACAGACTCCTTTAGATAAAATGTTTATATATTTATGGTTTCAGAAAATCTTTTATTAATTTTTATAACTATATTATCGTTGACATTTAAGTTAAAGTATATGTATATCTAATATAAACACAAGTGTTTACAGATACACAATTCAAAACTATAAAAATACTTTTAATAAATTTTGTATATGAATAAGAATAAAAAGAAAAAACATTCAAATAACATGGAACAACTGCTTCTTAAAGTTATTTCTTGGAGAGGAATAAATCTTGAGAATACCAATTAAATTATAAAAAGACAACAATGACTCATAAAACTACTGAAAGTACAGGAAAAACAAAAGTGGGTTTATGTCTACAGACAGAGAAAAAGAGACAAGTAAAAGAAAACACTTGAAAGGCTTAAAAAACAACAAATATCAGAATTAATAATGGAAGATTCAAAAGAAAGAAAGGCATAAAAAAGTTGGATTTGAATTGTTTAAGGAGATATGAAGAAAAATTATAAAGATGACAATGCAAATTTGATATGTAACATGCCTCCAGAAAACTATCATTTTAAAAGTCTTAACTTTTTATGAGAATCGATAGAACTCAAACACACACAGCTCACAGTAATACTGGTGGCTTAACTAGCACACTACCCTTAAAAAGGAAAACTACAAAAATTAGTTTTGCAGTATAAATTCAATCCAGAAAAGTTCTAAAAAAAATCACTTTTACTTACAATTGGCATTGATCACCTTTTATTCCTTTAGTTGTACAGAAACATTTTCCTGTGTGCATATGACAAACATTTGCGTGGCCACTGCACGTACATGCTGTAAAGTTAAAACCAAAATGATACTGAGCGTTGTCCATCACAAACATGTGCATCACATTTCAGGGGAGGTTACATTATCTTATTTTTATTCCACGTACTTTCCTCTTGCCACCCAAAAACTAGGGTTACCATCTAAGGTATTTTTAATTAAATGGAAGTAAATTCACTTATTTGAAAATTTTGTGTAAACTCCTTCAAGTCCTTGGGGTATTCATGGATCTGAGTATTTTCTTCTTTGGGCCTCTTTCCACTCCTACTTTGGATGTCTACCCAATGAGTCTTGAATAGCACAAGAGACAGGCAGCTCAGTTTCACCATCTATAATCACTAGATATGTGACCTTGGGCAATTTATTTAGCCTCTCTAGGCTTAGTTTCTTCATTTGCAAAAGGAAAATAATAACACTCAGCCCTCAGGTAGTATATTTTAAAATGCCTAACACATATCAAGCACTTAATAAATACATTTATTACTTCTACCATTCCCACTGCGGCCAATAATAAAAATAGTGACATACTGCATTAAAAAGTATGTCTATTTGCCCCAATATTGTTCTTTCTAACTTCTGAGATCATTCTCCATTTTAATTTTCCAGAAACATGGTGTAATAGTTCAACACAGTTGATTTCGTTCACATGAACCAGTCTTACTTTCTCATTCTGAATTCCTTGTTAAAGAGCAGTGTTCTGAGCTTTTAGGATGCCAACCTCACACTTTATAGTGCCCTGCACCCAAAGAATTGGTAGGTTCCAGTTTGTGTACGTCCCCTTCTGTTCATTGTGATAGAATCATTCAAATACTGTCACGCACGTTCTCTTACTGACACCAATACAATCACATACCTGATCTTTCCACCTTCAGTGTTCCTAGGCTCCAACCCATTCTGCAGTCCTGAGATGTTTTCTACAGCAGCAAGGCTGACCATACCACTAGCCCTTCTCAAAGCCTTTAATGAGAACTACTAGGCTCCTGCACACTGCCAGCTAGATAAACCATTCTATCAATAAAAATAAAATAATGTGGTCTTGCCCTGATACACATACACATATAAAAATAAGCTGAGTCATTGGTTTTGATCAAAGTATAAAGTAATTTAGAACATTAAGCACTTGCTATTTATGATTATTTGCTTTAAAAATAGATAATTAATGTAGAATAAATACATATACCCTTATACACACATACAAATAAGTGGTATTAAGTAGATTTTTAAGAACTTTTTTCTGGAAGATATTTCAACATAAAAGTGATTTTTTTTCTTCATAAAGAATATTTAAATAAATCAGGATAAATTTCCTTTAGGTTTGTTGAATTAAACGTGGAAGCACATGTGAGAATTACAGAAGTGAATGATACGGTGTTGAAATTCAAGGAATAAAAGAAACAATCTTCAAGTAACAAAGGGAAACTAAGATATACTGATACCATGAATGTAACTTTATAAACAGTAAATGAATATATACTATGATATATTTAATATTAATTTGCAGAGTATCATATTAATACTTCCTTATATTTAGAACTTCCCTAAAAATCATGTAATTATTTTAAAACTCAGATAAACCTTTTATTTATCCTTTATAGCAGTCTTAGAAATAGTTAACATGATATAATAGCTTTAATAATTCCTGAGACAAAAAAAATCATGTTAAAGTACCTTGTAATGTAAGTTCAGTTTAAGAGAATTCCTTTGTGATGCTGTATTTCAAGCTAAAATGGCACAAAGGTATTTTAAATTAAATTGTTTAAAACGTATACTTCGTGACAGTATTGAAATTATTCTGTTGTTGTCAGCATTTGAGGTTATCTTTTCATGCTGAATAAGCACCCAGGAAATCATCATGCAGTGGCCTTTGCTTGGCAAATTTTATATGATGATTTTACAGCCGAGACATACACTGGAGGGACATTATGTGGTTACGTGACATTTCTTTTCTTCTATAATATAAAGTTGCAATATCAACTTATAACCCAAAGTAAACAATATGGAGAGAAAAAGAAAGCTGATACAAGAATTATTCAACACTGACTAAGTGCCAAAAGTTGAAGTCAAAGTCTAGTGCAAGTTAGGATGGAAAGTAGAACTCGTGCCAATCAAAAATAGGGAGGGCGGTCTTGAGGAGGGGTGGGCAGGTGGAAGGAAGGGGCCACCCTCAGCCACGGCTGAGTTTCCCAGCCCTCCAAGCTTCCAGAGCTGAGTCTCCCGCAGGGAGTCTTGGCCCACAGACTGTGGGATCGGGGGATGGGATGGGCAGAAGGAAGTAAAGGGGGAAACACTGGGACAACTGTAACAGAGTAACAATAAAAAAAATATTTCCTAAAAGGCATCCAATAGGAAAAGTAGTAGTCTGCATCTTCTAACACACATAATGCAAGATCATCCTGAACTGCCTGACAGTGTCAGCATCAAAGTTTGCACAGTCTCAGTTCCTCTTGCCCTTGTAATTCCTTCTTTGAGAATCAAAAGGATGAAAAGAGCTTGAAAAGATGGAGTAAAGAAAACGTAGGGCGACTGAGCCTACTTCACCACGGAAAACAATGGATTTCAAAAATTCATAGAGAGAGAGGACAGACTAGCTAAAATATGGCAGCTAGGCAATAAAGTTTATTTTTAATTATGCAGTCCTACATGATTTAAAAAGGCTTTCTTGCTTTTCCTAATATGATTAAATTTATATAAAATGCTACTCTCAAAAGAATCTTTGATGAAAGCATAACTTCAAGTTATACCATATAATACGTATCGGCATATAATTATATAGTTATTCATTTCATGAGCTCCCTTAAAAATTTTTAAAATCTTGGGTTGGCTTTTCCCTGACACACAATATGTACTCAGAAAAATGCAAACTTTTGATTTTTTTTTTGTCAGAACAACTAATAAAACCAAGATTTTCATGTCAAGTGATTTTCATTTATCTGCATCTCTAGATTATTCAGGTCAATGCTCCCAGTTTGAGAGAACTAAATTTCTTACTTTAATATTTAAAAATGCTCAAATTCGTTTGATATAAATTTTCTGCTTCTATGAATCTGCAATATTTGAGAAGAGTTTAAAATGAAAAAAAAAATCTACTATGCTACTAGTAAGAAAGAAAATTTAGTTTTCTTTTTTACTACCCTCTAGTCTCAGAGAATATTTGTATCATAGCTTAGTGTGTTTTTAATTTTTTTTTGATTGCTTGATTATAGAGGGAAGGAGGGAGGGAGGAATGGAAGGGGAGCAGGAGAAAGGAAATATGGGGGAATTTGGGGAGGGAGGGAGAGGAAATACTGATTTGTTGTTCCACTTATTTATGCATTCATTGGTTGATTCCTCTAATGTGCCCTGATTGGGGATCAAACCAGCAACCCTGGCATATCAGGACAACATTCTAACCTACCGAGCTACCCGGGCAAAGTCCCTAGTGTGTGTTTTACTGTTAAATACTGCTGTAAAAGTCTGCCATGGACAGACATTTTTAATATGTCAAAAAGAAAAAACGTTAAGTTTTGCTGGTAAGAAACAAAGGTAAAAACATAGATCTGCCACCATGTTAAAAGAATACCTTTCTTCCAAAAACTGGAAAATAATGAGTCTCTATCACTATTAAAAGAAAAACAAAAATGAACTCAAAGACATAAATTAATAAGTATAAAAGTACAATCAATTATACATACAATGGGAAAATATTAACAATTTATTCATAATACAACTAAACCCATTAAACACCATGCAATAAACTAATCAAAAGAGTAAGATCTGGATGAAGAAAACTCAGTCCTACAAGACTGCAAATTTTTAAATGTCTGTATATTTCATGATTTAGAGAGGTTTTCTCCTATAGGACATGTTTTTTATGAATGATTGAATAAAACACATGGATGTAAAGATATAAAATTATTTTTAAGATTAATATCATTATAACTTAGTTGTCTTACTTTTGGAACAAATTATAACATACCACCCATCATAATCACATACAATTGAAAATCATAAATTGCTCTCAACTCTCACGGGTCTACCCAGATCTTTCCATCATAATTAATCTCTTTGTCAGTGATTCTATCATTCAATTTCTTTATCACATTATTATAACACCTATACAATATACATAAGTTTAAGTTCTAACGCAGTACCTTGCATACAGTAAGTACTCAATAATTGTGGAACTCAAGGATAACCCTTCATTGTAAAGTAGCATAGTGCATTGAGTGTTGAGGCATTGCAGTATATTGATGATCTTTTCACTTAAAAAACAAAATAACAAAATACTATGACTCCCATAGGTGAAGTCTAAATTTTGTGGATTCCACTGTGCCCATAACTTCAGCATCTTCAGTACACACTGGACACAGCACTAAGCTGTGGCTTTTGGCTATTGAATTTTCCCTGTCCAAACTAACATACAGTAAGTTCAGCATGAAGAGTTAAGAGCAAGGCATAAGAAGCACACATTTTCTAACTAGCACTATGGTCATTGGTATTTTACCTCTTTGAGTATCTGGGTCTGCATGTAAAATGAGGACAAAAGTGAAACTTCCCCTATACTTATATTGAAGCTCAGAGGAAATAATGAATATAAAGCTATGAACACAGTGCCTACAACACACAACATGCAAAATGCCAGCCAATTTGTCAGTATTAGAGCTTCGAACAGGTCAAGGCATTCATTCCATAGCACAAAACTTCATTTCAACTGTCTTCAGTTAGCACCAAGCCTGCTGTTGTCTGACCAGCTTTGTTCAGCCGAAGGCTGAGCCCACCCTTCCCCTGTCAACTCTGGAGGCACATCGCCATCATCTGGGAAGCCTCTGAAAAGAACCAATGCCCAGGAATCCCTCCAATCCCAACTCAGGTCCTGATTTTGTTATTTTAGGGGATGGCCCAGACGTCCACATTGGTTCAAAGATCTCCATGTCGTTTTAATATAAAGATAGCGTTAAAATTTTTATCTAAACCACGCTCAGGCCTAACTCTCTCTTTAAAGATTCTTCATCATTCCACAGCTAACAGCAGAGACGTTTGTGTGGGCACTATATAGGCAATCTCCATTTAGAAAAAGTAGATAAATAATCTAAGAGACAAAGACCAATCTAGAGATAAAAGATTACTATAAAATTACAACACAACAGGAAAATGTTTAAGGAAAGACCAGATTTTTTTTTAAAGTAAGAGAAAGGAAGCAGCAGAATAGAGAGGAAAATAGAGAAAAGTAGGATTTAGTAAATGAAAATGTGAAGATAATAGCAGCACTTAAATGTTCTTTTAATGTGCTCCGATTTCTGTTATATGTGCCTAAATTACATATGATCTCATTTGATCTTTACAACATTCCAATGAGTATTATCATCTCCCTTCATGGATGAAACTGGGGGCACTGAGGAGTTAGGCTGATGCACCAAAGTCATATATTAAAACAGTGGTAGAGTTGGATTTTCAGCCCAAGATTGATTCCAAACCCATTCTCTTAAACCTTATGCCGTACTATCACTCTGTCAAAAAAAAAAAAAAAAAACTTACCTAATGTAAGGCATATACAAGCCCTTAATTATTTTATTGCTAAATTCAAAGTGGTTGGTAAGTTACTATTAAAAAAATAAACTAGCAACAGTGGTTACTTTTAAATAGTGAGAGTATAGGTAATTTTTAACTCTATCTGTATTTGATAAATTGTGTATAATAAACAAAAATATTCATCTTTGAAATAAAAGTAAAATTCATTCTTGAAATAAATGTAAATTTTTTAAAGCAAGCATACATCACAGAATTTTTATAGTTTACATAGTCTCTAATGGGTATATTCCACATTACGGACATGTCAGTAATTCCACAATTACTGACATCATGGAAAAAAATTTTTTTTAAAAACATGTTTTATACAACAGGCACATTCTTTTCAGTTTTCTTTTCTATAGTGTAAAACACCCCCCCCACCACACACACACACACACACACACACACACACTCCCCGAAGTGAAACAGAGTAAGGACCTGTGCACTGCCCGCCGTTGGTGGGGTCTCCGTAGTACCCGGGCACGCAGTCCTGGCACTGCTTTCCTGTGGTGAGGTTTCTGCACTGCTCGCACACATTGTTGTTGATGCAAGTGCTATGTCCATTACACTGGCAAGCTAAAGAAAACAGTGAAAAGAAAGGATTGCAAATATCTATATAATAAAACCAAGCATAACAACTATCAAGACAAAGAATGCATTTTAATCATCTGAATGGGAGCAAAGTCTTAATGATATTTCCCAAGTTGTTGTAATGTATGCTATATGGGGCTCAAAATATCAATCCAGGGGAATATACACAATGAATTCTATTTAGAAATTTTGCTTCATACACTGTAAAATGTATGAGTTAGAGATAAATTGGAACATAAAAGTTGTAGCTAAGCAGGGAATACTTTATAACGTATGCCTAAAAGATTCATGTGAATATTGTCTATCAAGTTACATAAACAGAAGACTAAATAATACAGCTTTGATTAAAAAAGGTTCAAATTCACTTCAATTATACTCACACATAATAACAAAGGATTGGTAAATATAGAAAACTGTGTGCCAATAGGTCCTTACTTCAAAAAATATGTGTAAAATTAACAAAAAAATAGTACTTTTGAATTAATTTGCATAAATGTTTATCTTCTTTGGGCAAGAAAAGCTCCAAGGCTTAATTGAAATTTTATGTGACTGTGAATTAATAGAATCAGACATTTAAAGCATGAGTTGTTTTGTGTCTTCATAATATGAGATTTATTATGTTTTCATATTAATATTACGATAGCATCCAACAATTTTGGATGAGAGATAAAGTTCATATATGAAATCTCACGCCTTTAGTGCTTATTTGGGGCATAATATTGACTTAGTTTGGTAACTGTCCAAACATCATCCTCATTGTCACCTTCATAATCTTCTTCATCGTTATTACGACTGAGATAGCATTTGACTGAGCACTCTCTCTCCGTAGCCAGAAAAGCCAGTGTTCAGGAGATTCCAACCAACTGTTTGTGGCAGGCATGTATTCTGACTGGTCAGTTTACATACAACATCAGTTTTAAAATATTGTAAATACCATCCCATTGCCAGGTAATGTACTAGATGATACTGTACATGAATTATATCATTTAATCCTCATAACCACTCTTTATGGAAAGTACTATTTTAGGACCATTTCTAAGATGAGGAAGCCTGGGTGGTTAAGCAATTACCAAAAGCCACACAGGTAATCAATGGCAGAAACAAATACATAATCAGGATGTATGAATCAAAAGACAAGACATTAAATACCATACCACTTCTATGTGGAAATTTTGGAAATGAAAGGAAAATCCCAAGAGACTAGCATAAAATCATCCACATCAGTTAACATCACAGGGTGTATAAATACATTGACATAAAGAGTAAAAACTGAGTACCTTTATCTTACAAAAATTTTCAGAGGCATGACTCTATTGTAACATAGCATAGAAATGACATGGAGTCATCATGGAAAAATGTTAAACAATCTTCACCATCCTTTTAATAAAATTGAGAAAATTTATAATATCATTTTCAACTTTTATTGCTATATATTACATTATGAAACAAGATAAAATTAAATAACAAAGGAAAATGTTCATGACAAATTAAGTGAAATAAAAATACAAAACATTATGTTTAGATAATCAAAGTTTGTTTTTAAATGTATAAATATGCCTATGGAAAAATTAATGATGATTAGCTTAGTAAATTTTTCTGTACCATCGACTTTCTACAATAAGTCCATATTACTTTTATAATAAACAATGATGTTAACTTTAATTTTTTAACATTATGTTTGAAAGTTTAAGGTATTGTTTCATAAAAAAAATTATGTGAAACCAATAAGGTTAATTCACTCATGTAAAAACAAAATTTATTGCGTGCTCACTCTATGTAAAGCATCACCTGAAATAAATCAAAAGAGATGGATTGCTTTAGGCATTTTATAAACCTCCTGGCTACATTTTTATGCTTTAACGACTGAATAAGAGGGCTGAATTTAGCAGCTGCATCTAGTCCTCACAGATTACCACTGAAACCATAAGAAAACTTGCCAGCAACAACAAGAATTTGGGTATGGTAACAATTACACAAATAAAACAAGAAAGCAATAACCTGCAGTACCTCTGGAAATTAAAAGAGGACCCCTAGTATAATGCCATTCAGGGCTCCCTTTCCAAAAGTGAGTGGAGTTCTAAAGGCTGTTCTGGGCCACATGACAACGAAGAAGCATTTTACTTGCATGCCTCCATACACCTGCTGGAAAGTGTGATACAGGGATGTCTAAAGTTTCATACCACACAGAAAGCATATATATTTTAGACCTAGTTGCAAGTGATTTTTCCAGGAAAAGAAGAATGGTCATTGTCATAGCTTGTGATTAATACAGTAGCAATGGCAAAGGAGAAAGCATATTATAGAACACAAGACCCAGAAGGTATAACCTCTGGCATACTCAAGTAAGGGAGCAAAACTGAGCCATATTTATAATTTTTGAAGCCTTCAATTATAGCCCCTATCTGTGAAAAAAATGTACTAAACCCACCACATGCCCAAAGAAGCAGAAGAGAATCTTAAGTACACTGAGGTGTGCTATACAAGAAAAAAATCACTTGTAAAAACTGTAAGCCTGCTCCAAATACATATGTTGGGTGGAAATTGACATTGTCCATACAGCAGAGAAGCCTCACATCAAACATTAATGTAAAACAAGTTCTGTAAACAAAGAAAGCCACATACACCTTGTGAAATCAGTTGTAAATGGCCCCATGAAATACTTCTACAACTCAGGTCACACAAAAATGAAGTCTGTCTGGAAAAAGTCCAGCCATTGTTAATATAATAAAAACAGTTTGCATGACATCAAGGTAACTTGGCAGCCAAGGAGAGTGGACTGGAATGCACATGAGTTAACAATGACTTTCCTGTATTAGTCAGTGGCGGCAGTAGACACCATTGAGTGAGAATGTGTACTGTGTGGCCATCACATTCAAAATGATTGAGCAAGTAGAGCAATGAATCTGCATCAAATTTTGCAATAAGTTTGAACATTCCTCCATGGAAACTATTTGGATGGTTCAGAAGGCTTTCGGAGACAATGCAATCAGTACAGGACAAATAGAAATGTGGCACAAACACTTCAAAGATGGTCAAGAAAACGTTGAAAGTGATCCATGTTCTGGAAGGCCTGCAACAAGCAGAACACCTGAGAATGTTGAATGTGTGCAGGCTGCAATCAACAAAGATCAGCCACTGACAGCATGAGAACTAGAGGTTGATCTGGGGGTTCCAAAAATTACCATGCCCAAGACTTTGACAAAGGATCTTGGCATGCAATATTTTGTGGCAAAATTCATTCCACAGCTTCTGCTACCAGAGCAGAAGGAGCACTGTGCTGCAGTTGCTAATGACCTGATTCAAACTGCTATCAATGAACCAGAATTCCTCAAGTAGGTCATAACCAGAAATGAACCATGGGTCTATGGCTATGATCCAGAAATGAAGACCCAGTCATTTCAATGGAAGTGTGCCTGGTTCTCCTTGCTGGAAGGAGGTGAGGCAAAGTCACAGCAAGGTGAAGACCATGTTAACTGTGTTTTTGGATTGGGAAGGTGCTGTCCATCATGAGTACACCCCTCCAGTCCAAACGATGAATAAGGAGTTCTACCTCAATGTTCTCCATCAGTTGAGAGATGTAATATGACAAAAACAGCCTCAGTTGTGGGCAACTGGTGATTGGCAGCTTCATCATGACAATGCGTGTACTCGCACATCATGTCTTGTGCAGAGTTTTTGGTAAAACATCAAAGCACCCAGGTGACTCAGCCCCCTCCACCCCAGATTTGGCACCCTGAAACTTCTGGCTTTCCCCAAAACTAAAATCATCTTTGAAGTGGAAGAGGTTTCAGATCATCGATGAGATTCAGGAAAATGCAATGGGGCAGCTGATGACAATTCCAACAAAGGATTTTGCAGTGTTTTGAACAGTGGAAGAGATGCTGGGAGAACTCTGTGAGGTTCCAAGGTGCCTACTTTGAAGGGGACTAGGAATCATTGTCCTATGTACAATGTTTCTTGTATCTTCTTAAATAAATCTATTTTTCATATTGCATGGCTGGATACTTTATAGACAGACCTCATAGATGACAGAATAGAGACTTGGAAAACTTTTTCCTGTAAATGGCTCAATAATAACTATTTTAGGCTTTGCAGACCATACAATCTATGTCACAACTACTCACCTCTGTCACTGCAGTGCAAAAGCAACCATACGAAACAACTGATAATAGCTGTAATCCAATAAAACTTTACTGACAAAAATAAGCAGTGGACTAGGTTTGACCTGCAGGCTCTGGTTTGCAAATCACTAACATAAAACACACAACACTTACTGAAACATCAAAATGAACATTTATTAATAATCATAAACAAGAGTCAGGAAGAAAAAAGAGAAAGTAAAAAAGGAGAATTACACCCTAAAATGGGAGTAAAAGGAAAATTAGAAAACAAAAATATTCAAAATAATTTTTAAAAAAATTTAAACTATGCTTATAAAACACAGGTATATATAAAAACATATATATTATGATAGAGAACTAATGAAAATTATGGAGTAGAATAGTGTAATAACTGCAATGAAAAATACACTAGAGGGATGTAACAGTAGATATGAACTGACAGATGAACTAGCAGCCTTGAAGAGAGAGCAATAGAGATTATGTAAACTGAAGTGCAGACAGAAAAAAAGTGAAGAAAAATGAACAGAGATTTAGAAAAATGTGGGACACAGTTAAGTACACCACCATGCATAATGGGAATGTTAGAAACTTAGGAGGAAAGAAAGGAGGCTAAAATTAGAAGAAATCAGTCATTAAAACTTCCCAAATGTGATAAAAATGTTAATCTACATGTCCAAGAAGCTTAACCAACTCAGTATGATAAGTGTGAAGAGATCAAGAGGCATATTAGAATAAAAATGGTAAAACTCAAAGGCAAGGAGAAAATATTGAAAGCAGCAAGACAAAATATGACTTCTCACTTATAAAGAAGCCCAAATAAGATTAACAGCTGACTTTCACTTAGGAACAAAGGAGGCCAGTAGA